GCCGCTAACCGCTCCAGCGAGAGCTGCAGATCACGTTCCGATGAAGCCAACAGGACCACATCATTCGCAAAAAGCAGAGATGCTATCCTGAGACCACCGAAACGGATCCCCTCAATGCCTCGGCTGCACCTAGAAATTCTGTCCATGAAAGTAATGAACAGAATTGGTGACAAAGGGCAGCCTTGGCGGAGTCCAACTCTCACCGGAAACGAGCCCGACTTACTGCCGGCAATGCGGACCAGACTCTGACACCGGTCGTACAAGGACCTGACAGTTAAAACTACAAGCAGTTAAAGATAAAATGATGAAAGTTAAAATAAAATTGGTTTAAAAATTTGGCAAGTCAGAAATGTTACAATATCTGTGTTAATCAGGAGGCATGATGTGCTCTTTTTGTTTTTGATATTGTTCAATTATCAGTACTTTTATAGGGTTCTGTTTGTTCATGATTAAATACAGCAAAAATAAACTAATTCAAAGGTAACAGATCTTTGTAATACTTGGTTTATTTACAGAATGACTTTATTTGCTGGATGTTCGGCCCCTCAGCTGTTGACCTGCAGTAACTGTGGCCCCTCGGAGCAGTTTAGTTGAATAGTCCTGCTATAAAATGTTGACATGGGGATTTTCAGTATTTTAAAAAAGCAAGTACACGTGCTCTGAGAGCCACATGACCACAAATGTGACATCAGTAGAAAGCCCAGGATGTCCTCTTTACAGCAGAGTGGGACCAACATAGATTGTAATGTTTAAAATATAGGGATGAATACCACGTTCCCCACAGAGGACAAAATGAACTGATAGAAGTTAAAGTCTGRTCTGCTGTCGGCTCGTCTCACAGTTCAGACACCAGTGTGCGTTTGGATCTATGAAACACTGAACTGGTCTCTGAAACTCTTTCTGAAGTAAACAGTGACAGTGAAAATGACTTGTGTGTCTCCAGGGTCAACATTACAGCTCAAACCTTTCAGGCAGCAGGATGAGGGAAACATGGCTGCCGCTGCAGGACACAGACCACACCGTGACAAACAGTCACTCCTGGTGTGAGTCACAGACTACACCTAAAGTTTACATGAGATCTGACACCAGCAGGGAGTCACTGTGTTTACTCAGACTTATCACAGTCAAACATGGCTCCTCAAACACATCAGCTCATTAGTTTCCCACCAAGAAAGGAGATAATAATACACATTCACAGATATGTTTCTCAATGTTGTCTTTTGTGATAAATAGTTTTAGTTAAAGTAGATTATTCATTTAAAATAAAACAAAAACTCACCGTCTGTCTCCAGTCCATTAGGTGTGATGTTTGCAGGGAGACCGTTCACTTGCTTCTCAGAAATTGTTCCGTTCTCAAAGAAAAAACACCAAAATATATAAAAATACAATCAACGATAAGATAATGGAACTGATTTATCAATAAATTTGCAGAGTTAGGTAGTGACTATTTACTCAGTTACATTTACTTGAGTGATTTTAAGAAAAATGTACTTTTAGGAGTACTTTTACTACACTTTACTTTTTACTTTTACAAGAATAAATTTATTATGAAGTATCAATACTCTGAGCAAAATGTCTGAATATTCTACCTGCTGCGAGTAACTTTACTG